GCGAAACTCAAAACAAACAAACAAACAGGTATTTAAGGAATTGTAAAGCAAAACAGTTAGAGACTTTCGTGTAAAACGTCTGCAAAAGTATAAAACAAACAAACAAACAGGTATTTAAGGAATTGTAAAGCAAAACAGTTAGAGACTTTCGTGTAAAACGTCTGCAAAAGTATAAAACAAACAAACATATATATATATAACTTAAAACACAATTTGGATTAAATGAAAATCACAAAACAGTCGATAAAACTACCCTTGCGCGTAAAAGTACTGAAAATGGAAACGGAGACAAGTTTACACTTGTAAGATTTTCTCCTGCTTCAACAACAGTAAGGACGAATTAGAGAACAGTGGAGCAATAATATAGTATCACAGAAAGAAAAATCGCCAGAGACCGCTAAAAGTCCTAACAGGTTTCTTAAAACGTTTGAAACGTTATATCTAAGCTTAATAGAGAAGAAGGCTTTAACTAATAAGATAAAGGATTGTACATAATATTAGGCAGTCAAGAAATTAATTTCGCGTTTTGGAACACTTTCATTAACCACTCCCCAAAAAACGTACATCACGTATAATAGTTAAACGAACCGCCTAAACGTCACGTTAGTGTAGCCTATATAAAGTGAAAAGTTTAGTATACTCTCATCCCTTATAGTGATGGCACACGACGAGACACACATTCGGCATGTAATGCTGTTTGAATATAAGAAGGGAAACAACGCCCCTGTAGCCACAAAGAAGAAGTTTATGGAAATGTTTTGAACGTTCGTAAGTGTCAACGACGGTTCAACAAATTTCGTTCAGGTGGTTTTAGCCTTAAAAACTGTGATGGCAGGGTCCGACATGTTGGAACTGATATTGATGCTCTGAAGACGCTTGTTGAGTCTAACCAAAGGCAACACACTCGTGAAATGGCCCTGAAATTGCATGTCTCTCATGAAACAATTCGTAAACAACTAACGTGAACGTTGCTTTGTCTCTTCTGGCACGTAATGCGCATGAACGGTTTTTGGACACAATTGTCATCGGTGGTGATAAAATGGATTCTCTATGCGAATATTAAACGCCAAATACAATGGCTCAGTCCTAGAGAAAAACTGTTTCCGACCCCAAAACCTGGACTCCATCCGCAGAAAGTGATGCTTTGCATTTGGTGGGACATCATAGGAGTAATTCATTTCGAACTCCTCAATCCACAGCAATTGGAACGTTTAAATCAAGCCCTTCATCAGAAACGCCCTTCATTCGTCAGTCAGAAAGGTGTTCTTTTCCACGACAATGCACCTCCCCATGTGGCACGTTTGACACAACACAAGATTATGGAGTTGGTTTGGGAAGTTCTCCCCACCCACCATATTCTCCAGATATGGCTCCATCAGATTACCGTCTTTTTTCGTTCGCTTAATGGGAAAACGTATGCAAATGTGGAAGATGTTAAAAAGGATATCGACATGTT